CTCTTGGCTTCCTACTCAACAAAGTCTCATCTGTCCCCTCCCTACACCACTAATATCATGCTTTGGATCCAGACACAGTCTCTACTCTTTCATTAGGTAAAATACATATTGTAGTCATAAAAATGGTCTTTGAAATTTTTGAAGGTTTACCCAGGTCTGTGTAGAATAAATGCCATGCTGTCACACTGTCACTGGTGAATCCTTACTGACTATGACCTCACCCTTCCTAATGAAGAAGTCAATTGTTTGCCCCTGAGGGCAAGGTCACTTGTCACAGCTCCACCCACATTGCTTCTGTCTCTGCTGAGAAATGATTTTCAAAGAAACTCTCTAAAAGTAGTCAATAGGTTTTTGTTTTTTGTTTTGTTTTTGTTTTGTTTTGTTTTGTGTTTCAAGACATGGTTTCTCTGTATTATTTTGGAAGCTGTCCTAGAACTCATTCTGTAGAACAGGCTGGCCTGGAACTCTCAGAGTGCTCTGGAGGCTTCCTCTGCCTCCAGAGTGCTAGAATTACAGGGGTGCATCAGTCTTACCCTCAATTTTGTCATGATTTCTGACAACAAAGTTACTGTCATACCTGGTCCTGCAGCTCTTTAGTCCCAAATACATACACAGAGGCTTACATTGCTTATAAACTCTTTGGCCAATGCTAAGGCTTCTTATTGGCCAGCTCTCTCTCTTAATTATTAGCCCATTTCTATTGAAAATGTATTACCATGAGGCTGTGGCTTACCCATAATTCTCTGGCATATTTCTCCTTTGATGGCATCTCCCTGGCAACTCTGTCTTCCTCTTCCCAGCATTCTCCTCACCTGGTAGCTGACACAGGGAATATTGGCAAAGAGTAAGTGCAATGATTACTCTTTCCGCCAGCCACCTGAGTTCTGCCGCCCGATTAGGGCCTCCAAATAACACAGAGAGATTATTAGTTACAATGCTGCTGGCCAATGACTAGGATTTCTTATTTGCTAGCTCTGTCTTAAGTATCAACCATAATCATTAATCTACATATTTTAAAAAGACTTATCTGATCAAGGACACCAGGGGCATGTGTCCTTTCTTACCTGGGATCACATAGCGACTCTACCTCTTTCCTACATTTCCCAGAATCCTCCTTCTCACCTAGTCCCAGCTAACTTGCTGCCCTATTGGACAATAGTGCTTTATTTATCAACCAATAAGACAAACATATACACAGAAGTGCCTCCCCCATAATCTCCTCTTTTCTTTCTAAATAAAAAGAAGGGTTTTAACATTAACATAGTAAAATATATAACAAAACAGTTATCAAGTAAGAACTATAGTTACAAAATTTATCTCATTAACATTTAGCAAAATTTTAAAGAAAATATTCTATCATCTATCCTATCTTTGTGAGTCTGTCTTATATGTAACTTATCTTTCATAATAACTAAAGAAAACTATAACCATAACTATCTGTCTTCAACTCCATCAAAGACCACAGAAGGATAATATATAAACTCTAGATCTGACAGAGACATCTCACTGCCTGGACAGTCACCCAAAGTTCCTCTGTAAGGTTGAAGCATCTGTCTTCAGCCTGTAGGCCACAGTGTGTCTGGCAGACTCTTCCATGAAGCAGGAACCCTTCAAGACTGTCTTGTTTGGTAAGTTCAGCAGACATTTTCCAATGGGGGAAATTCTTCTGTGTATATGTTTGTCTTATTGGTTGATAAATAAAGTACTGTTGGCCAATAGGGAAGCAAGTTAGGCTGAACTAAGAGTCGAGGAGGATCCTGGGAAATATAGTAAAGAGAAGTCTTGTGATCCAGGCTGGAAGTGACATAGCAAGCAGACTCAGACTACAAGCATGGACAACCAGGAAATTGCTCTCCTCTTTCTCCTCCTCTCTTCTCTGTGGAGCCGCCATGTGATCCCAGGAAGAGGATGCATGCCCCCCCCCCGGCATCCTTCATAAGATAAGTCTTTATAAATATATAGATTAATGGCTATGGTTGATACTTAAGACAGAGCTAGCAAATAAGAAATCCTAGTCATTGGCCAGCAGCATTGTAACTAATACAAGTCTCTCTGTGTTACTTGGGGCCCTAATGTGGCGGTGGGCAGAACTCAGATGGCTTGATAAATGGAAAGATTTATCATTACAATTTTACAATGCGTCCTGCATGTCCAGACAGCAACAAACAGTCCAGGCAAGAGCACTTTCTTGCCCAAATGGCTAATCTTGCCACGTTGAAAGCAAACTCCATAATGCCCATCTTCCTTTCTGATGTAATTGATTGCCAGGAGCAGTTGTGTCTCACTGTCATGAAAAACCCTAAATCATTTAAATGTCATATATTCTCTAGGTCTTTGAAAGGTTTAAAGATATATAGATATCTCTGTATATCTAGAAAACCTAACTAACCTAACTGTAGGTTTTGACTATTATACCTGACTATGTACAATCTTTATTTAATTATGCATTACATTGTAAAAGATCTCTATAAGCACAATACCAAACAAGAGGAGAAATTTACATATAACAAATTTAACCTTAAATTTGTATCAATAAATGAAAATCCATACCAATGTAAAGTTTTTATTTCTATATCGCATTCCCCTTTTTTCCTTTAAAAGGAGATTGACTGTGATCATTACCATTTATAACCAACCCTGTTGAAATGAAAACAAACATTTATAAACAATATTTGGGAATTTGGGCATTCCTGCTTCCTGCTGGGTGGAGGCGATGTCCATACCATGGGGATCATAATAAAACACAGAAACCTGGCCAGGTCCTTGTTTTTGCAGTCTGAAAGGCTGTATCATCTTAGCTGTTTTAGACGTTGGATAACCTGGGACACTGTTTCACGGGGTCTTGCTTCATCAAACCATATTAGTCTAGAAGGAATCCATAGCTTTACATTTTCTGTGGACACATAAGCAAAAACTCTTTTCCCAAGTAACCTGTCCTTATATTTAAATTTAGATGTCAAAGCATTTTTAAAATATGTAAGTTGGATTAATTTAGCAGCACCTATAATCAAATGTATTTTAGCAGCTATAGCTCTTTCCTTGGCAATCAAACAATTTAAAGACAGCAGTATAACATATAGTATCCAGACTCTGTGTGTATTTCCTATCTTTACGTGGCTTATTTATTTATTTATTTATTTTTATAACTCTATTTCTTTTGTTTTTTTTTTTCCTTTTATAAGACAGGGTTTCTCTGTGTAAATTTGGCTGCCCTTGACCTCACTCTGTACATCAGGCTGGCCTTGAAATCACAGAGATCTGCTAGCCTCTGCCTCCTGAGTGCTGGGATTAAAGGTGTGTGCAATCATTACTTTCTTTCTTTCTTTTAATTACTTTATCCCATTTCTTTTCTCTCACAAGCCTGTGTATATTTTTAAAAACATTGTAAACCTTTAGAGGTTTTACTTTTTCCCTCTGAATCTGTTTTTACTGTATATCTTTATCTTTTTCTGGCCACGAGACTTTTATCTCCTCAATAACATTGCTAAAACTAAAGCCATGGCTGTTTTAGCCGATGTCTTTCCAAGGTCGGAGGGTACATTTATCCACAGCACTTAGAGCTGTGCTCACTGCCTTGGTCTATGCTGCCATCAAGGAGCATGCTGCCGGCTTGGAGATGTGGTCATTGCCACTGCCTGCTGCTTGTACACACCATTCAATTATTAGCAAGGCCTCTTAAAAGAGCCCTGCAGTTTTTTCCACTTATGCTGAGTCAGGAAACCTCCTTTAAGGGAGCCACTTGAGTCTCTGCTCGTCTCTAGCAAAACAGAGACCACCCGAGAAAATGCTGCTACCAAGAAGTCATGCTTGTCTCTGTTCTTTTGCTTCTAAAATCCTTTCTTATGCTTTTGTCAAGTTTTAAGTGGAAATCCGTCCCTCATGTTGGGTGCCATTTGTAACGATAACTCTTTCTGCCAGCCATCTGAGTTCCGCCGACACTTTACGGCCCCCAAATAACACACAGAGATTAATATTAGTTACAATGCTGCTGGCCAATGACTAGGATTTCTTATTTGCTAGCTCTGTCTTAAGTATCAACCATAACCATTAATCTATATATTTTATAAAGACTTATTGAGGACGCCAGCAGCATGCATCCTCCCTTCCCCAGATTCACACGGCTACTCTCTCCCTGTCCTACATTTCCCAGAATCCTCCTCCTCTCCTAGTCCCACCTAACTTGCTTCCTATTGGTCAACAGTGCTTTATGTATCAACCAATAAGACAAACATATACACACGCCCTCTCCCATCAGGTGCTGCTATTTAACATTCCCTGTTTAACATTGAAATCTCTTAACAGGCTAAGAATTATTGTAAGCAGGCACCATGAAGGAAAAATTCCCCCCAACCTTTTCTTGTAGAGGTAGAGTGAAGAAACAGTCTTTCAAATCAATAACTAAAATAAACCATCCTTTAGGCAACAGAGAAGGCAAAAGAATTCCAGGTGTTAGAAAGCCTATCTATGGGCATGGAAATCAGGATACACTAAACCGGTATGCTTGAAGTGCAGTTTATTAGGGGCAAGAACTTAAACAGAAATAAGTGATTGCCGAGGCACTCTCGCTCCAGGCATACAGACCCTACAACCCTGATGATGCTCTCTGTGAGCCTAAGAAGGGGCTTCAAGCCCCAGTCATGTCTGCACTTGTAACCACGCCCAAAAAGGCGTGCTACAGGTGAGGGGTGAATATATCACTACACCTATCAGCTGAATTACCTCATTCGTAGCTCTCAAATCTGTTAGCATTCTCCATTTTCCAGGTTTTTTTAAATAACAAATAAAAGAGAATTCTAAATACTGGTTGATTCTTC